CTCTCTAGGAAGAGTTGTTAGAGGGAGCTTGAGACCTTGTTTAAGGCAAGCTGCAGCTGGCTTCATCCTGAGGGAGCGGTGTGTCCCAAGAGTTGGACGCTCGCAGCCTTCCACAGAAGCCGTCTAGCTGGATAGGGCAGGGGTGGCAGCGGGGTTAGCAGGAATCATGGCCCTGGAGCAGCTGTGACTTGGGCACCTGCAGCCCTGCCACGGTACAGGGGACAGAGAGGCCTGCATCCCACTTGCAATGGTCACATCTCTATATGAAGGAGGGAAGACCTTCCCCCAGCTTTTCCCTGACACATTTTGCTGGTTGAGCCATGTTAACAAATGATACTCTGTAAGAGAGATCTGTGTTTGAATTCCTTTGGCCACGGCTGGCTGAAATGAATTTTTAAACAGGTGACTTCAGAGTTCATCAGAACCCTTAATATGCTGGTGTAACCTCATCTCCCGTAGGCCTGTGGAGTAGACGGCATTTCCCACGCATTTGGCAGTGGAATGCTTTTCTCTTGTCAACGTCTTACAAGAATCCACATTCCTTGGGGCGTATTTTGGGTTTGGGGAAACCTCCATAAAGGCCAGGGTTATGCATTAAGTAGATCCTAATTTGCATTTTCGAAGTGCTTTCGTGGCCCGTTTCTCTGGTTCTCACAAGAACTCTAGCTCCCTAATGGTACAGTGATACTGGCCGCATTGCAGAGGAGTGAGATCTTGCCAAGAGAGCGACGGGCCCTGTGTCTGCCCCCGGGGGCTGTTGCAGGGGAGTCACCAGGCCTCGTCTATAAAGAGCCCCAGACGTTCCTCATCTGTAAGGCGCTCTAGTTGCCGTCTGAAGTCCCCCAAACCTCTCCCACTGGGATTCTGTGAAATGGGACTAAATGAGCTGCACTCTTTGTTTTATTATCGCTGATCTCTGGGCGGTATTTCCCTCTGCGGGTCTTCATTATTTTGGCTGATGGCTTGGGCTTTGCAAGGGAGAGCTGATGCTCTTGTTCATTTTAGCAGCAAACACTGTGTTGAGCCTCACGTACAGACCTGACACTGTTCTAGGCGATGGTAATGCAGAGATGTAAGACACAGCGTCTGATCTCACGGAAATTGCAGTAGACAAAGTGGAATAAACAAGAAGTCTAGATCTATGTGTAGTAATGTGTAGTTTAGCAGAAGTGTGTGTTCTGTGCCATCACAACAGAGGACAGACCCCCACCCCTACCCCCATTCTAGCTGAGGGACGGGAGACCAGGTCAGAAATGATCCTCCCAGGAACTTACCCTTGAATGGATCCAGGAAGGGGCATACGTGGTCATCAAGTGACAAGAGATGCCAGAGAAAGAGGTTGATGTTGGAGGGACGTTCCAGGTAGAAGAAGCAACACAGAGAAAGACTCAAGAGGCCGGCTGTTTAGGGAACAAGTCAGTCAGTGAGATGCAAGCAGGGAACTGAGCTGGATGAGACGTGGAAATGTAGGCAGTGTTTTTACACAGAAGTTCTTATGTATCATGTCGTATTGGGTTTTATTCTGCCGATGGAGAAGGGAGTCATTACATTATTGGAAGCAAAGGAGTGAGTCCTATGATCAGATTAGCATTTTAGAAATAATTATTGTGGTTGTGCGGAATCCAGGCTAGAGGAAATGAAACTGCTAGGAGATGTCTTAGAAGCCTAGACTAAGGGTTTAATAATAATAGCTAACCCTCATTGACTATGTATGTGCCAGGCACGGACAGAAGCTTTTTATGGCCTCATTTCACGTGATTCTCACTTCAACGTGTGGCGTGTATTATAACCGATTAATGATGTAAACTTTGGAAAACTGAGGTCTAGGATGACTCAAAATTTTGATGAGAAGGAAGTGGTTCCTATCCAGTGTAAAATAATAATTCTTCTATATACGATGTTTGATACTTGTCTTACAGTTTTGGAAATCACTAATCTTTTAAGAAAATATTGGATGTGAGATATGAGCATAAATGCTATTTAGCATCTACTCTGCTCTAATGTTGCCAAATTACTTTGAAGGGAATTTGGGTTTAGCTTTTTTTTTCCCCCCTCTCTCTCTTATGCTCTCTCAGAAGAATAAATCCTAAATCCCTAAAATCTCTGCCGGTCTTTATGTCTTTCAAGAGCAAGGCTTGTGTTGTGTTAACCTAGGTATCCATCAGAGGGCTTCCTATGGAGTGTTCTAGAAACAGTCTTTACAGCAACATAGATTCTTTCCAAATGATCCACCACTACTTACCCACACAGCAATTAGTGGTTATTTTTGGCTGCTAATAGACATATTTACAGCAACATTGTGCTTTTAGCCTCAATGAATAAGTCCTCATGTAATTTTGCTTTAAGCTCACACTCACAGTTTTATTTTCCACCACCAGGTTTTTTTTTGTCCTGCAATGCCATCATGCCTTTGTTTTCCACTTAAGACATTAAAACCCTGTGTACCGCTGTTTATAATTTCCATCTGACTTGAGACAAAGATTTAAAAGAAAACTTCAGAAGCCTTTTAGCATCTGAATGACAGGATTCTAACTAGTGACTCACTTTTGCTGTCGGTTTGGGGGTCCATTTCTTAGTGTCGATTTGCTTGTTCTTGGAAGGGTGGATGTGGACACTTGAAATAATGTTGCTGCCCTCTCCAAGGAGCCCACATGTACAGTCACAACAGAGGGAGTCTCCCTCACTTGGATTCAGAGTGCTAGTGCCTCTCCCCACCTGCATGACTCTGCTTCATCCGAGTCCCCAGTGAACCGAGTCATCACTGCTCTTTCCCACCTGCCCTGCTGGGCTTCAGCTTGCGGTCCCCACATCATTCCAGTGGGTGTGGACTGTACACCTCGTGGTAAATAAAGGATGTCCTTCGTTTACATCTGTTCTTCATGGAGAGAGGGTCACAGGCCTTCATTCTTCATGTGGCCCCCAAGTACATTCATACCTTTCATATGAAAAGACCAAACATGTGTCTGCATCTTGTTGGGGGACAGACGAGGAAGTTCTCTGCCTGGTGAGTGAAAAAGGATTCTGAAATATCAAATCAGTGTTGGCGTTTATACACACTCTGCAGGGCTAGACTTTGATCATTTCAGACAATCTTTTATTTCGTCCTCTTCTCTCCTTGTTGAACCCAAAACTGACAGCCTTAAATCCAACAAGCACGTGGCAGAGTCCAGAGGGTTGCGGCTTTCAGCTTCACGAAAATACTTTCCCACTTTGATTCACTGGCATTAAGGTCATGAGATGTGTTTTATGTTTCTAATGACAGCACTTTGATTTTTCTCTCCTCTTCTTTTATCCAGCCCCTTTTCAAACCCCCGAGGGATAAAGACAAAGATTCCAACTGAGCCGAGTCTCACCCTCCAGCAGTTAGGGCGAGTCTGGTGCCAAAGAGCTGCTTCTCCAAGTCACTAGACAAAGACCCCACCTTGTTCTGGTCCCAGCCCTGAGCCGTCTGCACGGCAGCCACACTTTACCCTCCGTGTTTTGAAGGAGGGGTGGAAGGGAGATTGGGAAAGACTTAGTGATACTTTATATCACCATGTTGCACTTGGAAACTTGGTGTCTTCTGTATTATGAATAACCACATCTTTGCAAAGTACCAAATGTATCTCTAATGAAAATTCTGCCCCATAGACTTAAGAACTCTGAACTTTCTGAGAGTTTTGTTTTAAAACTGTTTATATAGCTTTTAGTAATATTGGAAAAAGAACAACTTCTATTTTCTTCTGAAAATTTTTAGGGCACTTAAAGTACTTTCAACTGCTGAAATCTTAAGTCCTGTTGATTTTGCTTCTACCAGCTTTATTTCTTGTACTTAAAGTCATTTAGGATTAATTTTATTTTCAGAACTCTAATTTCACAGAGAAGTTTTCTAGGTGTCCTGTGTCTGTATGGTTTCATGTCATTTGGTAAGTGGCAACATGCATAATAGGACATACTATTGTCATTTTCAGAACAGGACACCTTGTTGTTTTTTTTCCAGACCCAGCACCTGTCATTACCATGTAGATACTAGAAAATGCACAATGTAATCAGAATCAGGAGAGATGTGACCACAGATGCAAATTGCAATTGTGCCTGCCCAATTTTTCCTCAAATGATTAGCAAGTGTTCAAGACTTCTCCATTCACTTAGAAAAGTAGGGAAAGAAGGAAGACACTCCTCACCCACCTCTCTCTAACAGGAGTTGTTTTTCTCCAACGCCAGGCATGCAGGAGGCCTCCATGAAGCTCACTGAGTCGCTGCACGAAGTCTATGAGCCTGACTGGTACGGGCGTGAGGATGTGAAAATGGTTGGCGAGGTAAGAGCCGGTTAAGCACACGGCGGGGGGCCTCAGGTGGCTTCTGCGAGGCTCCCACCGTGTCCTGCTCACCCAGCCTACCCCTGACCCTCCCTTACCACTTCTTGGCCCTATAGTCACGAGGGAACACATGTACCCAGAAGATACTGTGCAATTCCACCCTCCAGACAGACCCGAACTCATAGTGAGGAGTGAACATGATTATAAAACCAGTTGCATAGAAAGCTGTGGGTTAAAGATAATTTTTCTTCAACAGCAGAGTAACATTTTCCTCTCCCTTATTACACTTCTTAGCCCCTTGCAGCAGGAAAACTGGCTCGTGGCATGATTTTTTTTTTTTAAGGAAGTAACCAGGGTTTGAATCCAGGATCTCGTACATGCGAAGCATGTGCTCTACCCTGAGCTCTATCCCACCCTACCTCGTGGCATGATTTTATGTACTGCCCCTTCTTTACCCACCCCTCCCTGAAAGTAGGCGCAGAAGCTGGGAAGAGCATCTCTTTCAATTTAACACCAGCTGGTCCATTCGCTGGGCTGCAGGGCCGAGGACAGGTGCATTCAGCCTGCTAATAGGAATTTAACTAACAAAAGGCTTTGTCCCCAGACATGTCTTGACACCTGATGTGCACCTTCTAGGCCAGGGCCATCTGGTGTCATAGACAGACCATGGGCTTCAAATTCAAGGGTTGAAACCAGAGTCTGTCATTTATCAGCTGCGTGACCTTGGCCAGGTTATGTAACATCTCTGGGCTTCAGTGCCTCTTCTATGTAGTGGCAACAGTAAGACTTCTGTCATAAGGATATTGTAAGAATTAAATTTCATACACACACACACGCAGGTAAGGCTTTTCACCCAATGCCTTGACGCAGTGACAGTAATAGCAGTAACAGTAATGCTAGTAATACTGATTGTGCTTATCATAACTGACACTCTGTAAATGGCAGGCCCTTCCCGGTGTGGAAGCTTCAGCAAAGTTTAGTTGTTTGTCTGGAGTGCTTTCTGATTTCATGGATTGCTTCAGAAGCAAGCTGTCTCGGGAGAATTCTTCACAGAGTCTTGGCACCAAAGTCGGGACCTGGGAACCTTTTGAAGTTTCTACATTCTTTATTAACTCAGACTCACAAGCACATTTTCAGATGAGCTGAGCCCTTAGGTAGCCTATATTATCAATTAGAACTGGTAGCCAAATTGCTGGAGTTTTAAATAATCCACATTCTTTCTAGCATTTACTCTCCAGAGAAGTATTGCTTATCTCATGTTATAGTTTCAGGTTTTTAAGAAGTGGTTGAAAGGTTCCCAGTTAAAAGCATTCAGCAGTCACCTCTTTGTCTTTTTCTTTCAGAAATGTGATGTGCTGTGGGAAGACTTCCATCAAAAGCTAGTGGATGGGTCCTTGCTGACGCTGGACACTTATCTGGGCCAATTTCCTGACATAAAGGTATTTTACTCTGTATCTTACCAGGGAAAGAGTTGAATGGTCCCATGTGCTTATTGGAACATGGGCCAGAGATGAGTGAAATTAAAAATCCTCAAACTGATATCAAAGACAGTGGTAACTTTTCCTTTATTTAAGCATGGGATTTTTATCCTGTTCCTATGAATTTAAAATAAAATATAGTTACAGAAATCACATTTTCCCCTTTAATGAACTGTTTCAGCCTTTATTTCTCTACAGAAGTCTTTTTCATTCTATAGATATAAAATTGTGAACCAGAGATGCCAAAAAAATTCCAGCCTTCTTTATGTCCAAACTTTTTATTGTATAGCATCTGACAAGAATTTCCACTAGAATAAACAGAGGTCACAAGGGAAGGAGGAACTTCATTGCAAACATGAGAGCAAAATCTGATCTTTCCTTGTTTACTGTTTATTTTGCATACATAGCACACCTGTGTGTTTTTTCCCTCTACTTGAAATTTTCAGGTTCAAATTGAATTATTAAGATGCAAGCATTTCGAATACATTTGCATCCGGATCTAAAAATATCTTGTCTAAAACATTTGTCTTATCTGACGCTTGGCTTCATGGAAAGGGAAATGCACAAGTGAAGGACTGAATATCGTAGATTTAGGATTGACTCTCGAGGTTAAGATGGTTTTTAAACCATCAGAATTGAATATAGAAATGGTATTGTTAATAGATCTGTCTCCTCGTTGGTTTCCCAGCTCAAAGAAGAGGGCCAGGTAAGACAGCCAAGTGCTGCCCTGCCTGTAGAGTGAGGAGGCCATGGACCAGCATCCATGGGCATCTGCAGTGTCTTACGAGGTGAATTCTGATGTGAAGTTCCACTTTCACCTGGCCTCTTCGTGCCCATTGCCAAACACCAGGGCACTATCTGCAGTAATGTGCACCAGCCTTGGCCACCAAACATAGCGGAGCTTCTTGGCCCAAACTGCACTTAGTTTCCTTGGCCTACTCAGATTGCTTAACACTAGCTGGCCAACATCCAAAGTGTGTTTTGGGGATACCCGAGGCACCAAGAACCTAAGTGGATCAGACTAGATACGTTAGTCTTGTTCGCAAACTGTCCCAGAGAACAAATCCGAATGCTGGATTCTCGGTGATGTTGTCGTAAAAGGCAGCAGAAC